CCTCCCTGTCCCGCCTTTCATCTTCACAGACCTATACATCCATTCATTCCACAGATACTGAGTGCCCGCTGTGTTTTATGGCAGGCATCATCTTTGAAGAGTTTTGCTATAGAGGAAGGTAAAACATCAAGCACATTGATAGTTAAAGTGTTTCACCTTGCAGACCTCTGGGGAGAGATTTCTCTGGATTTAGAAGTTGTGCTCATCTCAGGCAAAAATACAGGAGTTGATGGCATGTGGCAAAAAAGTTTTTTTCTTCACGGAAGCTAGCAAAAGGAGACAGAAAGGGAATACAAGGTGAGAGAGATGGTTTATCACTACCCTTTCCATTCGAGATGTGTTTTACAAATAAAAGTATATATTTAGGGTTGACTCTGTACATAGTATTTTGGTAAATGATGGGAGAGAAATATGAAAGAGAAGTAACGTGGTCTCTGCCCTCACGGAACTGACCTTCTTGATAAGACTCATTTGCAACAAGGAGAAACCACCTCGCAGTTTCCCTTTTTGCCCACATAGAATAGTTCTCTAAAGGATTTTTCATCTCCTGGGGATTTATATCATAATTAATCTCCTTATTTAAAAGAAAAGCCTTGTTAGGAAAGTTTTCAAATATTTATAAAAGTAGAGAAAATAGTACAATGAACCCCAGCCCCCGGTTTCAGCCGTGATCCTCATCTTGTTCTGTTTGCTTGCTTGTTGCCTGTTTTCTTTCCTTTCCTCTTCCCTTTCCTCCTCCCTCTCCTCCCTCCCTCCCTCCCTCCCTCCCTTCCTTCCTTCCTTCCTTCCTTCCTTCCTTCCTTCCTTCCTTCCTTCCTTCCTTCCTTCCTTCCTTCCTCCTTATTTCCATCTTTGAAATTTATGACATCATGCATATTTTGCCCTATAAAACACAGAAGTTTATTATAACATGGTTTCCAATGTCTATGTATTTTATTATATATATTTAGTAAATGTACCTAATGTATTCTCTAATAATGGACATTTTCATTATTATTATTATGTAGTTTATTTCTTATGAATAGTATTTCCTAGGACATCCTTCTATGCCTTTATCTCTTTAATATTTTTGTGTACACATGTGACATTCTCTTGGAATGGAATTTACTAGAAATGAAATTGCTGAAGCCAGGGGTATGCACCTTTTACAAATGGCTACATAATAATACCAAACCGATCTTCAGAAAGGTAGTAATTCTTAACTTTCATCAACAATGTGCCTGTTTATCTTTGCTAATCTGGGTTTTGTCAGTCTATTAATTGTGACAAACTCCTAGTTTAGATTTTTTAAAAATTTTATGTGCATTTAAAAATTACTGAGACTAAGCATCTTTATTATTACAGACCATTTATATTTCTTCTTTTTTGAGTTCAGTCTAATCTTTCATAAACATCACTTTCATTATTTTACTTCTTTATTCAGACTATAACCATTAGTAACATTATTTCTTAAATCTAATGTTCAACACTCTTCATAATTTGGCCCTAACCTATTTTTCTAACTTAATACTGTCCAGCAAGAGTCATTCTACTCCAGTAAATGTTTCCTCATTCTTAATATTCATTTTTTTTTCTTGGATTCATGTTTAAGAATTTTTTAACTTGTTTTCTTAGTGTTTTACTTTCTATTTTTCCTCTACCTGTTTAAATCCTTTGAATCCTTATAGTCCCTCTTGTGATAAAGTCACTGCAAATTCATTAGTTTCCTCTTACTTGAATTCCCACTGTACCTCTTGTTTCTACCACTAGATTTAGTAGCAAATTATAGCTGTGCCTGGGGCCATGAATACACAGCTATGGACAAACATAGTCTCTGCCCTCGTGAAGTTGGTAGTATATAATATGATGGATGTATTTCCACATCTTTGCAGGTTGGATTTCTTTTAATGTACCTCTGTTTTATGGAATTATACGCAGATTTTTAGATATATACTTACATGTCCCTAGCTGGACTGTAAGATTATTGAAGGTATAAACCATGTTTTATACTTCTCTTTTCATTACAGCACGTAAGTCTGTTCTCAGCATGTAGCCATCACTAAGTATATACTTGCTCTGTTACTTAGTAACAGAAATTGTAGACTGTGGAGTCACAAACTTGGCCTCACTTGACAAGACCTGGTGACCTGTGTAACACTTAGCCTCTCTGAGCTTGTTTCCTTATGTGTTAAGTGTCTGCTTTATAAGGTGGCCGTGTGATTAAATAGGATAATGTATCCAAAGCACTAGCACAATGCTTGGTACAGAGTAAGTGCTCATTAAAAGATACCTGTGATAGTAATTAGAATTAGTTCTCTCAAACTAGAAACTGCCACAACAGACTCCCTAGCTCCTGTCATCTAAGCACATAGTAGATTCTGCTCACTTTGTTCAGTTATCTTGTCCTCTTCTTTTCATCCTCACTGTAACCCACAGTAAAAAAGACATTTTGTTTTGTGGCTTAGTATACACGGCGCTTATTTGCACATATCTAAAACGTTCTGTGAAATCTTATTCAGTGTTATCATGTATGGTGCACTCTGCTTTTTTCTGTTCTGTGTTGTTAAAGCCAGTTATAGCTGTTGACACAATTCAGAACAGTTGGAAACACGCTGGATTGTTGGAATTTGTAAAAGTTGGACTACTACACTTTACGTTCAAGTGTGACTTTTCAGTGAAATAGAAACTGGGGATGAAGTGACAGGCATGGGGCTCATTCCGACTGCATGTTCTCTCTCTTCCCCCTTAGTTCTATGTACTTAGATTGACCTGTTCTCAGTCTGGCCTCGCTGCCGCGGGCGGGAGTGCTCGGCCATCATGTTCCAGAGCTGGTACAGGAGGAGATGACTCAGGAGTTGGGACAGACCTTCCCACCTTGGCAAGGCAGAACTTCCTCAACGACTTTTTGTGTGTATTGTTTCTTTTAGAAAATTGACATCCATGGGTTGTAAGTTGTTAGCATCATTCTCAAAAAGGCACCTGAAAAAAACTTCTATTACAGAAATTTTTAAACATTGAAAAAGTAGGCAGAATAATATAATGAATCCCCATTATCCAAATTTAGCTTCAGTTGTTATCAGCATTATGTCAATTCCAAGGAGAATTTTTAACAAAGAACTTTTTAAGATAAATACCAGCCTTAGTGTGCCATGCTTTAGTGCTCATGACCTATTCATTTTATTTGATGCCTGCAAGAAGAATATGTAATTATATGACCGGAGGGACAGTGGCGGGGTGGGATGGATGGGGTTGACTATATTGAGGATCGCCTAGAACACCAGACCCTGGCCATGTTACTTGGAATATTTCAACAGCCGTGTTGACCAGTCTACTGTTGGGGGGATTGTTGTTCATTGCATTGATCTTCTGTTTAAAACCTTTGATTCTTTGTTCCCTACCCTACCTATAGAATAAAATCCCAAACCATAGATTTTCCTTTATGATCTGGCTCCAGCCTCCCTTTCTAGTTTCTCTTCCAGTCTCTGTTTATTCCCTGCTGTATTCAGCTTCTTATTCCTACAATACTCAGTCCATTTTGGACTTGTGATTATTTTTCAAGATTCAATTTAGATTTCATCTTGTAGATGAGACCTTTTTTACTACCTCAGAATGAAGTACGTAGTTCCTGTTTTTTTGTTACATGTAAGTGTGTGTGTGTGTGTATGTGTGTGTGTTCTGCCACTTAACTGAGTTGTATTTTATTTATTTATTTTTATAAATTTATTTTTTATTGGTGTTCAATTTGCCAACATATAGAATAACACCCAGTGCTCATCCCATCAAGTGCCCCCCCCGCCCATCACGCAGTCACCCCCACCCCCTGCCCACCTCCCCTTCCACCACCCCTAGTTCGTTTACCAGAGTTAGGAGTCTCTCATGTTCTGTCTCCCTCCCTGATATCTCCCACTCATTTTCTCTCCTTTCCCCTTTATTCTCTTTCTTTTTTTTTTAATATTTATTTATTTATTATTTATGATAGACATAGAGAGAGAGAGAGGCAGAGACACAGGAGGAGGGAGAAGCAGGCTCCATGCCAGGAGCCTGACGCGGGACTCGATTCCGGGACTCCAGGATCGCGCCCTGGGCCAAAGGCAGGCGCCAAACTGCTGAGCCACCCAGGGATCCCCCCCTTTATTCTCTTTCACTATTTTTTATATTCCCCAAATGAATGAGACCATATAATGTTTGTCCTTCTCTGATTGACTTATTTCACTCAGCATAATACCCTCCAGTTCCATCCACATTGAAGCAAATGGTGGGTATTTGTCATTTCTAATGGCTGAGTAATATTCTATTGTATACATAGACCACATCTTCTTTATCCATTCATCTTTCGATGGACACCGAGGCTCTTTCCACAGTTTGGCTTTTGTGGACATTGCTGCCATAAACATCGGGGTGCAGGTGTCCTGGCGTTTCACTGCATCTGTATCTTTGGGGTAACTCCCCAGCAGTGCAATTGCTGGGTGGTAGGGCAGATCTATTTTTAAACTGAGTTGTATATTAGTGTATGTTTCCTTTCTTCCTTATCCTTAATTAGACAGTGCTCCTCCTCCAAAGCGGGGATTATATTTTAGTTTTCTTTTTCTCCTAACCACTTCTTTTGGTGCCTGCACGTAGTAGGCATCCAGGGATGGTTTGTTGAATGACTGTATTCATAATTTTAGAATTTAATTTTAACACATGTCCTCTCCAGATAGAAATTCATCCAAGTTTATTTTTCTCATTTTGTTTTGCATATTTTTCAGTTTTTTTTTCCTCCTCTCCTTGGGGACTTCTATTAAAATTTCTAAAGAGAACATAAGTTCTGTAGCCTTTTTCTTGGGGTAAATATACCTTAGTAAATTAGTATACAGTATTCATCTTCAATGTTCCTGTACTAAAAGTAAGTAAAATCTACTTTCATTATACTTAATTTCTTGCTATTGTTGAACAGTATGGTTTTATGGAGCTAAAAAACAAAGTGGGGTGGAGTAGGTTTGTGCTTACAGTAGCCTTGACCAATTTTTTATATATTTCAGCTCATGGAATGCTGTGTAAATGCCCTGGTGACATCCTTTAAAGAGACTATCTTAGCAGAGTGCCAAGGCATGATCAAGCGAAATGAAACTGAAAGTAGGTAAAACATCACATAAAGTTCTCGTAATCTTTTAAGAAGGTATCTTTGAAGCAGATAACTTTTAATAAGTTGCTGTTAGATCATCCTTTTATACATAGGTATATTTGTTACAGCAAACTGTGCTTAAAGAAAATGATAAAATATTTAACACAGCAGTACTGTAAAGAAAGTTACAAACTTAGATTTTAAACATTCCCCCCTTAGGTATCAGTACTTGTGTGTAGAGGATGGGAGTGGATTTCAGTTTGTTCTCAGATGTAAGGCTCTGCTTTTAAAGACGAATTTAATTGATAAACATCTGGGAGAGGATAGAACGAGGTAGTTGACTTTTTTGTGGAACTTTGTGGTGAATATTTGTAGAAAGTAATACTCATGTTAATGATCTTCGTCCCTCTCCCCTAAAATATGTTACAATTTAAGATTTCTGCAAATGTACTTTCTTGTTACATGTTTTCTTAATCAAGATTTTTTTGGGGAGGTTGCAAATATATTACAACCAAAAGGAATATGGTAGAAATAACCTATATTCTTACTACATGGAGATAATAACTTTTAACGCTTTGATTGTATTCCTCTCCGGATTTCATTGTGTATATTTGCAAGGTCATATTTAATCTCTAGTTTCTTTCTTTCTTTTTTTTTTTTTTTAAAATCTCTAGTTTCATTTAAAGTATGTATTTCAGTTCACTTAAGTTCATACAGTTGTGGTTTGGTAGTGAAAAAGCTCATGGGCATAAACGAAATATTTGAATTTTTGTTTGCCAAGCTAAATAGTTATTACTGATCCATGTTGGACTCTCTTCAAAACAACTTATTTAGTGGTAACTGGTTCTGTGCAATAAGATTTTTGTGAAGATCAATTAAATGGCAAAACACGAGAAGGTGCTTTTATACCCTGAAAAATTCCTTCTGAATAGTTTTATGTTATCTCAAATACACTTTTATAATTATCACTTTGAATAGTCTAATATAATTTTTTTTTTGCCACTTGATGATGTGGTGCTATGTATTTAATATTGTATCTACTTTATGGAATATATTATCCTTCTGCATAAACTTTTGTACTTCTTTGAATAAAAAATATTCCATGGAGTTTAAGGTCAAATGACTTGCTTTTTAGGAGGAGTTAGATTTTGTGATGTGTGATCACTTTTAATTAGAGTTTCTTTTAAAAATAATTTTGGCCAGACAGAGAAGGTAGATCAGTAGGTTATAGTACTTGGTATAACAACTCTTTAAATTAATTGTACCCACAGAATATTGTTAAGGTTCTCAATTTCCAACTAATATTTCTCCAGACTTTTACCATCCTAGGCATTCTAGACCCAAGATACAAATCAAAGAGAAAATTTAGTTTGATGGATGAGATGATTACATGAATGCATTCTGTCGTTTCAGAATTACATTTAATGTTTTCATTGATGGACAAAGTTCCCAATGGGATAGAGCCAATGTTGAAAGACTTGGAGGAACATATCATTAGTGCTGGCCTGGCAGATATGGTAGCAGCTGCTGAAACTATTACTACTGTAAGTTTCCTCAATAGCAGTAATGGATGTATGTCAGGGTTTTTAAAATATGGGACTAGATATTTAAAATAGCAATTGATGACAAAACAATAATGTTGGAACACTGTTGAATATCAAGAAAAAATTTTTCAGAGAATTTCCCAAATTTTAGAGCTATAGTGCTTACTTAAAATTACATTTATATGTTGTCATTTTTGGTATTTTCTTTTTTAAAAACTCAATTGAGTATAAAATATTTTATTTTTAGGACTCTGAGAAATATGTTGAGCAGTTACTTACATTATTTAATAGATTTAGTAAACTCGTCAAGGAAGCTTTTCAAGATGATCCGCGATTTCTTACTGCAAGAGATAAGGTATATATTCTTATATATTAACACTATTGTCATAATTTACTTTTAAAGAAAAGCTTGCAACATGCTACTAAATTACAAACTAAAAACCTAACAACTCAGATTTTTTTTTATCAGTGGAGGACAGTCATTTTTATTATATTTGGTTGGTTACATGTTTTTTATAAGAATTAGTTATGCTTATGAACTAGAATCTAGCTAGAAAATTGCTCTTGGGATGCCTGGGTAGCTCAGTGGTTGAGTGTCTGCCTTTGGCTGAGGGCCTGATCCCATGCATTGGGCTCCCTGCATGAGCCTGTTTCTCCCTCTGCCTGTGTCTCTGCCTCTCTCTCTGTGTGTCTCTCATGAATAAAGAAATAAAATCTTAAAAAAAAAAAAGAAGAAGAAGAAAATTGTTCTCTTCCTCATTTTTGGGGGAATGTTTAAAAATATTTTTTTTAATAATTGAATATCTATTCATCCTTTAAGACCCACCTCAAAGTACACTTCTGGAACTTTCTTGATACCCTGCCTTCCCCCACATCCTGTCCCCAAGTAGAGTTTAGATTCTTCTGTCCTCTTTTCATAGGACTCCGGGGTATTATGTCACATTTATCCTGCTTCTCTTATCCTTTTTCCTGTCCTCATTCGTATGATAATAATAAAACATAGTATTATCCTTAGGGTTTTATCTTTTTAAGGTTTTTTGTTTGTTTGTTTTTGTTTTTTTTTAATTTAAAGTGAGAAAGTGTACATAGGGGATGGGAAGCAGGAAAGAGAGACTCTCAAGCAGATTCCCTGCTGAGTGCAGAGCCCAACGCAGAACTCAGTTCCAGGACCATGAGATTACAACCTGAGCTGAAAGTCAGATGCTTAACTAACTGAGCCACAGGGTTTTATCTTTTTTTTTTTTTTAAGATTTATTTATTTATTTATGATAGAGAGAGAGAGAGAGGCAGAGACACAGGAGGAGGGAGAAGCAGGCTCCATGCCAGGAGCCTGACGCGGGACTCGATCCTGGGACTCCAGGATCGTGCCCTGGGCCAAAGGCAGGCACCAAACCGCTGAGCCACCCAGGGATCCCCGGGTTTTATCTTTTTAAACATCATAAATATCACAAACCTATCTCTTAAAAATTACCATCCATTTTTTCACCTTCATCTACCTTTCTCATTTCCTAAGTTAGATTTTTTTTTTTTCCTTTCTGTAGCTCTATAAAGACAATCAACTTTCTCCAGTAGGGTTTTTTTTTTTTTTCTCACTCTGTAGGTAGAGAGAGAGTAGGAAAGAAGTTAAGGGAGGATGGAGGCAGTGAGTTTGAAATATTAAATGGAGTGGCCAGCAAAGCCTTCATGGAGGGGACATTTGAATCAGCATTGAAAGTGATTAGGAAATAAAATCATGTGGTTATCTGGGGGAAGAGGGGACAGCAGATTCAAAAGCTGTAAGGCAGGAATATACCCATCTTATTCCAGGAACAGGAGAGAAAAAGGTCACTGTGGCCTGAGTGGATTGAGAGGTAATAGGAGGCCAGGTCATGTGAGACACTGAGCTGTGGAAGGAGTTTGGTTTTCACCCTGAGTAGGATTGAAAGTCATTGGAAGGTTTTGAACAGAATGGATAGGACTTGCATTTTTACAGGATCCTTTGGTTGCTGCAAAAAAAAAAAAAAAAAGACTAAAGGGGGGTCAAGAGAAGAAGTAAGAAAATTGGCTAAGAACCTATTTAAATAATTCATTTATAGGTAATGATGGAGGCTTGGCCCAGAATGATAGTGGGTAGGGGTCGTTAAAATTGGTTGGATGCTGATTATGACAACAAACTATACACAATTTACTAATTAATCAGATGTAGAATGTGCTAAAAAGAGACAGTTGGGGATGACAGTTTTTTGTTTTGCTAAGAAGCACATGCTTGCTGAGATGCAGAAGACCAAAGGAGAAGCAGGTTTTCGGAGGGATGGCTGTAAGGAGATTAGGAACTCAGTTTGGGACTGTTAACTTCGAAATGTTTGTTAAACATTCGTGTGGCAATGTCAAGTTGGGCATGTAAGGGAAAGAATAGACCTGAAATAATAAATTTGGGAGCTTTAGCGTATGGGTGGCATTTAAAGCACTGACACTGGCCATGACCACCAGTGTGTTGAGTAAAGATAGAAAAGAGAAAAGATCCAAGGACTGGCCTGGGGCACTCTCATTTTTGTTAGGAGAAAGATGAAGAACCAGCTTTCATGCAGAGAGAGGATAATGGGTGGAATGACCAGGAGAGTACAGCGTCATAGATGACAAGTTCCAGAGGAGGGTGTGATGTGCTGGTTTAAAATGCTGTTTTGTCCGTTAAGGTGGGGATTAAGCTTTGTCTTCAGCAGCATGGAGGTTGTGTGTGACTTTGGCAAGAATGATTAAATTGAGCAGTGGTACAAAAGCCTGGTTGGGAGGGTTTTTCCAATAGGAGTGGTGGTAGAAAAAGTGGAGACCATGCATTAGGTAATTCTTCCAGGAGTTTAGCTGAGAGAAAGAAGTGACACAGGAGCTGGAGATGAGCAAAGGCAAGAGAAAATGTTAAGATTTAAATAATGATATGTTTGGAGACACCTGGGGGGCTCAGTCAGTGAAGCGTCTGCCTTCGGCCTGGGTCATGATCCCCAGAGTCTTGGAATCAAGTCCCATGTCGGGCAACCCGCTCAGTGGGGAGTCTTTATTAACAATACTGAGCCACATTCTCAGCTCTAGGTCTCACAGGGGAGGAAGTGTACGAAGCTGAAGGGAAAAGCAGTGTATGAAGGATGTTCTGGGAGAGTATGTGCACAGAGTAGTTGTCAGGCACCGTTGAGACCCCCCTATCTGAGAATAATGATAGTCCTGATGTTAGAGGGAGCACGCTAAAGTCATGACTTAAAAACTTCTATCAGGCCACAGACACCATTAAAATATTGAACTGTATTTTAAATATTAAAAATAATGTTCATTTCATTGTAAATTCTTTGCAGGCCTATAAAGCAGTTGTTAATGATGCTACCATATTTAAACTTGAATTACCTTTGAAGCAGAAAGGGTAAGTTTTTAAAAATCATGTTTAAAATTCTTAACTTTTTCAATGTATTATACATTATTGGGTATGCATAGTGCCCTATCTCCCTAAAACTATTAGATTTGATTTTTATTGCTATGCTTTTTTTTTATTTTTATGATTTTTAATGTTGCCTTTGAATATTAAAAAGTCTCAAATTAGGGATCCCTGGGTGGCGCAGCGGTTTGGCGCCTGCCTTTGGCCCAGGGCGCGATCCTGGAGACCCGGGATCGAATCCCACATCGGGCTCCCGGTGCATGGAGCCTGCTTCTCCCTCTGCCTATGTCTCTGCCTCTCTCTCTCTCTGTGACTATCATAAATAAATAAAAATTAAAAAAGAATTAAAAAAAAAAAGTCTCAAATTATAATTTCATACTCTCTCCATGGTAACCAAAAAAATGTTGATCTTACTTTTTTACGTAGAAAAAGTTTTTTTTTTTTTTGAAAAAGTTCTTAATCTTTTTGAATCTCTATGTGATTGTTTTTCCCTCCTTATTAGTCACTAAAGTTACTTTATTATAAAAAGCATAGAATATAACTCAGTTCACCATAATGAAAAAGGGAAGTCCATTTTATTTTTAGATTTTATTTATTTAAGAGTGATTTTATTTATTCATGAGAGACACAGAGAGAGAGGCAGAGACCTAGGCAGAGGGAGAAGCAGGCTCCCTGCGGGGAGCCCGATGTGGGACTCAATCCCAGGGCCCTGGAATCACGACCTGAGTCAAAGGCAGATGTTCAGCCACTGAGCTACCCATGTGCCCCCATGGGAAGTCAGTTTTAATGTAAATATCTATATTCCCATTTAAAAATCAAAATTTAATGAGTTAAAATGGAAAATTAACAAGTTAAATTTAAAAATTAAGAAGGCTGAGCTAGTTACGATATCTTTAGAGTGGCACTGAGTAGTACTAAAGGTAAATTGAAAAAAATGTTTTGATATTATTTCTAGCTAAGATTCACTATTTAAGATTTATCTATTTCTTTTAGAGAGAGCACATGTGCTTGAGCAGGGAGAGGAGAAGAAGGAGAGAGAATCTCAAGCAGCCTTCCTGTTGAACAGGGAGCCCAACTTAGGGCTGGATCCTAGGACCCTGAGGTCATGACCTCAGCCAAAATCAAGAGTCATAGGCTCAGTTGAACACCCAGGTGCCCCAAGAATTGCATTTGTTTGTTTGTTTATGATTTATTTTACAGAGTACATGGCAGGGCAGGGGCAGAGGGAAAGAGAGGAAGACTCCCCACCAAGTACGAAACTGGTCACGGGCTCAATCCCACAGCCCTGAGATCATGAAACCAAGAGTCAGCCACTTAACTGAGCCACTGAGCTACCCAGGCACCCCTAGAATTGCTATTTTAAACAAAGTTTAAATATAAATGCTAAAATATTTGATAAGTAGCTTTCTTAGGAATGAAAAGTAATTGTTTAGAATTCTTTGTTTTATTTGTTTTCATTTTGTCTTTTTTGAGCCATGTTCAGTTTAGTGATATTAAAGTGGAAGATACCTGGGTCATATAGTTTCGTAGTAACTTGTTTTCTTTATACATTGTGAAATATATGAAACATATAAACACTATGTATTCAAAATCTCTTCATAAGGATAAAGAAAGGTCTTCCTCGTTCATCCCTGCTCCCAGCATTTTTTAATGAAAATTTTTGAATTTTTGTCACTCTGCTGCTTTGTCAAATATGTATCTCTCTGTACATCCATCAATGTTTAAAATTAATTTCAAAAGAAGTTTCAGTAGGTGCCTGGGAGACTTAGTCAGTGAAGCATCTGCCTTCAGCTCAGGTCATGATCTCGGGGTCCTGAGATCGAGTCCCATATTGGGCTCCGAGCTCAGCAGCAGCCTGCTGCTCCCTCTGCCTTTGCCCTTCCCCCCCATGTTCTCTTCACTCTGCTCTCTCTCGAATAAATAAATAAAATCTTTTTTAAAAAAAAAGATGTTTCAGGCACCAGTTACTTTCACTCCCTGAACACTTCAGCATGTAGTCATGAATGGAATTTGGTGTCAGTTTAGGTTTTCAGATAAAATTTACACACTGGTGTATGTATAAATCCTAAGTGTACTGTTTTGTGAGATTTCACAGATGTGCCCCCCGCCCCAGACCTGTGAAGATGACAGTGAAAATCCCCCATGCACATCCCATGTGATCCTACCTCGCCTCCTTCTGGAGTAGCCCACTGTTGTGATTATTTCAGCATAGATCAGTTTTGCCTGATCGAGGACTTGATCTAAATGGAATCCTACAATACGTACTTTTGTGTGTAAAGCTTCTTTCATCCATTGTTTTTGTGTCACAGTGGTCCTCTTTTCCCAGGTGTTGGTACTGCTTTACCCCCACACCAGTAAAGCAAGGGAGTGTTGGTTGATCCACATTCTTACCAACATTTAGAGTTGTCATTTTAATTGTAGTCATTCTAGAAGTATGTAGTGATGATCTCATTATGGTTGTAATTCCATTTCTCTCATGACTGTTGCTACTGAGCACTTTTTCCTGTACTATTTGGCCTTCTTACATTTTCCTTTATAAAATATCAATTCTGCATTTTTGCCTGTTTTTTTTTTTTCCATTGCATTATTCCTTTTTATTAGGGAGCTGTAAACGTTCTTAGGTAGTCTGTATATAGATTCTTTGAGAGGTACTTGCTTTTCTTTTATGGTTCTTGCTTTTTGGTTTTGTCTAGAAAAACTCGATTTCTATATGACACAAAGATAATCTTTTGTGTCTTCTAGAAGCTTTATAATTGTAGCTTTCACATTTAGTTCTAAGATCCATCTTTAATTAATGATTACTTATAAGTAGGGGGTTAAATTTAATGATTTTTTTCTTTTCCATATGGATAGCAAGTGTTCTCATCACCATTTATTGGAAATATTTTCCATCCCCACTGCATTGCTTTGGTGCCTTTTGTCAAATATCAAATGACCTAAAAAATATGTGTGTATTTCTGGGCTCTCTATATTATTTCATTGATTTATTTGGGTATCTGTAGGCCATTACTACATAGTCCTAATTAATATAGTTCTGTAGTAAGTCGAGTAGTATATAATTTGTTCTTTTTTCCATGAACACTTGATGTTCCAGTATTTTGCTAGAATATAGAAGTAGAATTGATTTTTGTGTATTAATTTTATATCCTGTTACCTTGTCAAAGCTATCAGTTCTAATAGTTGTTTGTAGATTTCTTAAGACCTGTCTATAAATAATCATGTAATCCATAAACAGACAGCTTTACTTCTTCCTTTCTGATCTTTATACCACTTGCTTCTTTTTCTTGCCTTGGTACACTGGTTAGGATCGTTAAGTACAATGTTGAATGAAAGTAGTTAGAGTGGGCATCCCTGCCCTTTCTGTCAAGCTTGGTGAGGGGGGACCTTTAATATTACTAAGTACAAAGTTAGCAGAGGGCTTTTCATAGATGTCCTTAATTAGATTGCTTTTTATCCCAGCTTGTTAAAAGTTTTGATAATGAATGGCTGTTGACTTGCATTATATGCTTTTTCTGAGTATATAGCCAAGAGAAACAAAAACGTACACCCACTCAAAAATTTGTACACAAATGTTTGTAGCAGCATTATTCTTAATAGCTCCCCCAAAAGGAAAAATCCCAAATGCCTATTGTCTAATGAATGGGTAAGCAAAATGTGGTATATTCATGCAATGCTATATTATCCAGCCATAAAACAACATGAAATTCTATTACATGCTTCAATATGAATGAAACCCTGAGAATATGCTAAGTAAAATCAACTATATACAAAAGGACACGTTTTGTATCTTTCTACTTATATCTAGGATAGGCAAATTCATTGATATAAAAAACAAAATAGACATCAGCTGGGGGTGAGGGGAGTAGGAGTTTATTGTTTAATGAGTGTAGGGTTTTTGTTTAGGATAGTGAAAAAGCTCTGCACACAGATATTTGGTAATATTTGCAAAACATTATGAATGTACTTAATGCCACTGTAAACTTAAAAATAGTTAAAATGGTAAAATTTTACCACAATAAAAAAGGAATGAACTATCAGTATATGTTATGATACGATGAATCTTTTTTTTTTTGATACGATGAATCTTAAGAACAACATGCTAAGTAAAAGAAGTCGGTCACAAAAGACCACATATTGTATGATTCCCTTTATTGAGATGTTCAGAATAAGGAAATCCATAAAGGCAGAAGGTAGAATACCTGTAGCCAGGCATTGGCAGGGAGGGATAGCTGGAGAATGACATTTGACTGCTAATGCGTACAGGGTTTCTTTTGGGGATCATGAAAATGTTTCAAAACTTCATTATGAAAAACAAAAACAAAAACAAACAAAAAAAAAAACTTCATTATGATGGTTGCACAAGTCTGTAGGTATACTTTAAAAACATTAAATTGTGTTAATGGACATAAATGATATGTGAATTATATCTTAGTAATAATAAATAAGAAAATAAGAAATAGTAACAAATAATACATATTAATAGACAAATAGGTGGAAATTGTTAACTGGGGAAAGCCAGAATATCTGTAGCAAGATGTAATTGGAATCACAGAGAACAGAAAAGGGGGACACAGCAGTATTTGAAGAGGGATTGACCAGAAATTTCCAAAATTATTGCAAGATGGCAACTCTTAGATTCAGGCATCTCTTTGAATCTCAAGCAGGATAAACGCAGATGAAACCATTCCCAAGTATGTCACAGTGAAACAGTTAAAAACTGCAAACAAACAAGGCTTTAAAACAGCCACCAGAGGGGAAATGACACTACCTTCAAAGAAACGTTGATGAACTAACTACTTTTCAGCAGAGTGAATTGGAGGAAGGAAGATAAATAGAGCACTACCCTTAACTTAGGGCAGTAGTTACTGCAGGAGCCGAGCTTTTTAACAGTGCCAGTAGATTGGAAGAGATAGAGGGGTTCTTGAGAAGTAAGTTAGTGGTCTTCAGCCTGGATGCAGAAAACCTTCCTGGAGTCTGCCAATGTGGATGCTGGTCCTCTGCCTCTACGTCTGCCTCCTCTACGCTGAAGCCATTGGTGGAAGCTATCATTATGATCTGCCCTTTCTACTTCTTCCCACCATTAATCTTCCCTGCTTTACAAAGAAAAGCACATCTCTCTCTATTCTTACTGTGGTGTGTTGCCTCAAAACATGAAAAGCCTCCAAGTCGCATAAGAAAGGAATATTTTGAAACATTGGGATTGATGTCAGAAAATGAATTTCTAATAATTAGGTACCAGATCCTTTTGGAGGTCACATGATTTCCCAGTTCTTGGCTTTCCACCCAATTGATAGTTACTTTGATGCATTACTAAAAATAACCCTTTTTTGTTAGATCTGTATGTATTTTTTAAGCAAATTACTCAGGAGGTTCTCAACGAGTTGAGTAACATCAGAAAAGCTTTTTCCGGGCACCTGGGTTGCTCAGTGGTTGGAGCGTCTGCCTTTGGCTCAGGTTGTGATCCCAGAATCCTGGGATCGAGTCCTGTATCATGCTCCCTGCAGGGCTTCTCCCTCTGCCTATGTCTCTGCCTCTCTCTCTGTGTTTCATGAATAAATAAAATCCTTAAAAAGAAAAAAAAAAAAAGCTTTGCAGTCTGATCTACTTACTTACCTGAATAAGATTCTTCAGGTCTAGACATACAGTTACAAAGAGTAGAAGTAAAATTGGTTGTAATTTCTGGATTCATTAAGCAGGAGGGAAAAAAGTTTTGGTAAGTTGTGTACTTAAAATAATGTGAATAACTCCATTCTGGGAAAATAACACTTAAATTTTATATACACAAATTCTAAAATGTTGGATTTAAATTTATTCACATTTGTAGTTTAGAGAAGCAGGATAAAGAATATATGCAAGACTTTCAACCATAAAAGTACACTGGTTTTTAAATTTTGTTGGCAAAGTAAAATGGAGATACGAGTTCTTCATTGTTTAAGAAAAGTTTGTGTACAGTTTTCTAAAATGGGTGACGGGGGATCCCTGGGTGGCTCAACAGTTTAGCGCCTGCTTTTGGCTCAGGGCGTGATCCTGGAGTCGAGTCCCAGGATCGAGTCTCACATCAGGCTCTCTTCATGAAGCCTGCTTTTCCCTCTGCCTGTGTCTCTGACTCTCTCTCTGTGTGTCTCTCATGAATAAATAAGTAAAATCTTTTTAAAAAATTAAAATTAAAAAATAAAATCGGTGACGGGTGTCACATCACTGTGATGTAGGTTATGTGGAAAAGTATTTAGCAAGTAAGTACCTGAATAAAAATTGTAAAGATCATCGACAAGGCCACTAGAGTGGGCAGGGCATTGCCTGGCCACAGAATATCTGGCCCACAGAATATCTGTGGGCCTCACTCCTGCAGATTCAGCATCAGGAACCTGAGAGAAAGTGTCTCCTTCAGCTGTGCACCCTCATCGTCTGTTCATCGTTCTCTTAGCGCTCATCACTGCATTTATACAAAATAAATTTGTGAAAAATCTGCTTTAGAAAAAAATATGTGCAGATATCAGTCAGTTTTCATCAACTGCTTTGAATTTGTTTTTTAGGGTGGGGTTAAAAACTCAGCCTGAATCAAAATGCCCTGAGCTGCTTGCCAACTACTGTGATATGTTGCTAAGAAAAACCCCATTAAGCAAAAAACTAACATCTGAAGAGATTGAAGCAAAGCTTAAAGAAGTGGTATGTTTTTTTTTTTCTTAAGTTTCACAAATTGTAATTACCTTACTGGGAATTTGTGTGGTGCTGAAGAGACTTTCTGTGAGTGTGATTTGTGTTGTGGAATGTTGTGGAATTTGATAGTGTAAGAGCTCTCCAGGCCAGTTATTTCTCTTCTTGGAAATTTTTATTTTGTAGCTTCTAGAAAAGGGAAATAGTGTTTAATTCTTTCCCTTGCTTGATTCTTTTAAAGGTATTCAATGCTGGCTCCCATTAAAGGACAAAGAAGGGGAAATGACAGTAGAGAGTCTGGAAGTTTGTCACTTCTTTCTTTGTGAGAGCTAGATATAGATAACTTGGAATGAGTGAGTGTAGTTAGTACCTTGCATTTCTGTCTCCTGGGTGTTAGCGTAATATGCTATAAGCCCAGGAATGCAAAGAGGAAAAAAATAAAGAAGTAAAGATAGAAAAGATAGACAAAAGGCTTAGAAGGTTAGTGTCAGATCACAATGAGGCTATAGAGAAGAGAAATTTTGGGAATAACCCTTAATTTTCATGTAAAGTTTTATTACATTATTTATTAAATCCAGAAAATTAATGTCTATAGGAACTAAAAGGTGATTTGATTACAGTCTCAAATGTGCTAACTTTTAAAGTAGTAAAGTAGGATATTGGGGCGAGTCATTTTTCAGAGTTGGGTGGTTCAGCAGGCTTCTAACTCTGTAGGCTTCGGTAAATTTTGGGATTTTAACATTGGGGTTATGGAAAGGTCTCAGAGAGATGGCCAAGAATATGCATGAATTGAAAGTAGCATTGTTTTCTGTGCAGCTGTTGGTACTTAAATACGTACAAAATAAGGATGTTTTTATGAGATACCACAAAGCTCATTTGACACGACGTCTTATATTAGACATCTCTGCTGATAGTGAAATCGAAGAGAATATGGTAGAGTGGCTAAGAGTAAGTACATTTTTTAATACTTGTTTTCCTTAATATAGCACATGATTCTTATGCGTTCTTCAATAATACATGTTGGTGATATTAGTGTCAAAGAAGTAGGGGATGTTTTATAAGAGCATGGCATCAAGAATATGAAATAAAGTGATATTTAATAAAGTATATTTTCTTAATAAAGACTTTTAATGAAACACCCTTGCTATTGCTTTTCTTCCGATATATTTCCACTTCCATTTGAACTGGCCTTATTAAATGGGCTGTGGATAGATAATTGCATTAAGGTGTTTTTAGTACCAAATGCTTAAGGGTGCTTGTAAATAACGACCTTTATGTAGCTAAAAGAACCAGTACATAAAAGATGATGGCTTATTTATTAAATAATCAGTGCTAATTGATTATGACTAGATTCTCATACCTGTTTTAAGTCTGCTCCTGTCAGTTCACTTTAATGGGATTTGAGTTATATTAAAATGAATGTCTTTAAAAAAAATAAAATGAATGTCTTTTATTTATATGGTGTTAAGATACATAATATTATATTCATATATGTAGTTATATGTGCTCTATATGTCTTTCATTTATATATATTTCAAAATACACATAGATTGCTCTGATTTGCATGATAGTATAGGATAGTAAAAATTACTCTGCAAACTGACAGTGTGCAACATGATCTTAATGTTAACAGTCAGTGGGGAAAATTGTTTTGTAACTGAGAAATTTCTAAAACATTAACAACTCACACATGGGAAGAAAATTGTAAAATGAGTATGTATTTAGGACACTGTAATTCAAAGGATAGAATCTTTTAGAACTAAAGTACTATTTCTTTGTAAAAACCTGAGGTAGTTAGAAAAATATTTGCAATTCATATGTCCAGTATTGTATCTAGAATACATAAAGAACTCTTACAACTCAACAGTAAAAAGACACCTGAGTTTAAAATGGGTGAAATATTAAAATAGACATTTCTTTCCAGGAGATATTTACATGGCCAATGCATGTATCAAAGGTGTTGGACATCATTAGTCATTAGGGAAATGCAAATCAAAACCACAGTGAGAGGGACACCTGGGTGGCTTAGCACCTTAGGCTTAGTCTGCCTTCAGCTCAAGGCGTGATCCTGGAGTATGAGGATCGAGTCCCACATCAAGCTCCCCATGGGGAGCCTGCTTCTCTCTCTGCCTATGTCTCTGTCTCTGTCTCTGTCTCTCTCTCTCTCTCTGTCTCTCATGAATAAATAAATAAAATCTTAAAAAAAAAAAACACAGTGAGATAACTTACTTTACTCCTGCTTTCCTCCCATTCTCCTTTACTCTCATTGTGGTGGCTAAAAATAAAAAGAAAACAAGTGTGGCAGGGAGAGGAGAAATTGATCATGCAGCCACCAGGGAAAACAATTTGGCCGTTCTTAGAAGTTAGACATAGAATCAACCCAGCAATTCTTCTCCTAAGTAATTCTTCTCAAGAGAAATGAACCTTGTCTGTGAATGTTTACAGCAGCATTATTAATAAGAGCCACAAAGTGAAAAAAAACCAAATTGCCAATCAGCTGGTGAAGGGATGAACAAAATATGGTTTAATCATATAATGGGATATTTAGTAGTCAAGAGAAAAGCAGTGCTGACACACGCTACAACATGAGTAAACTTTGAAAATATGTTAAGTGGAAGAATTTACAAAAGACCACGTAGTATATGATTCCACTAAAACAAAATGTTCACAATGGCCAGTCCACAGAGACTCTGTAAATACACCAAAACCTACTTAATTGTATACTTTGAAAGAGTGAGTGTTATGGTAGATGAGTTGTATCTCAGGAAGACTGTCCTGTACATGAAGAGTAGTTTGACAAGCCCTGGCCTTCTCGTCTTATGACTTAGAATTCGGTGTCAGCATCTTCCCTGTGCCTTGGGAGAGTTGTGATACTCTCTGTAAGTTTGGGTCGTCGGCTTCCAGCCTGTTGTTTTTTGAGCTCTCAGTGTTGTGAAAGTTTTTGCTGGTGTTGCTTCTTCTGGGGCTTCTTGATTGTTTTTGTTTTGTTACTACTCATTTCTCACTTATGTTTGTTGTTTTTTAAAGACTTTTTATTTATTCATGAGAGACACAGAGAGGCAGAGATATAGGCAGAGGGAGAAGAAGGCTTCCTGCAAGGAGCCTGATGTGGGACTTGATCTCGGACTCTGGGATCACACTCTGAGTCGAAGGCAGATGCTCAACCACTGAGCCACCCAGGCATCCTGTTTTCTCACTTATATTGATAATTTACCTTCAGTAAACTTACCTTAAGATAATTTGCCTTAAGTTCTTATTCCTGTATATTTAGAGTCTTAATTGTTGGCAGTATCAACATTACAACCTCAATGTGCCGTTTATGTTCTATTAGATTATTTTCATTTCCAGGTTTATTTTTATTTCCTTCGTATGCTTTTATTATCGTCATTTGCCACTTAGGTCTCTTGATTATCCATTTTTATAAAATGTTAAGTGGATTTATCACTGGAAGGCAAGGATGCTACAAAACTATATGCTTTGCTTTCTGTGGATAAACTGAATAAACAGATAACTAACAGATCCTGAAAAAAGTGTTATGACTGGTCACTGATGAGAAGTAGATTTTGTACTTTATACATTCCTCACATTTCATATTTGGTGATAACTGAGAGTTGACTTGTGTTGTTGAGGGATTGGTATTATTGAACTACGCTGCAGTGACTGATTCATGTCTATTGGAATCATGCAGAGAAAGCTGGGGTGACCTTATTTAGTTTTTAAGAATCAAATTTAATAGTATAGAATATAAATATTCTAATAAATAAAAGGGGAATGATTTTATATTAAGGCGTCTGAGACTTAGTTTTCCATTAAAAGTTTTTCCTAATAGTATATCAGATTATATTATTGTTCATTACCTCTTTTGTCTTTGCTTTTCATAGGAAGTTGGTATGCCAGCAGATTATGTAAACAAGCTTGCTAGAATGTTTCAGGACATAAAAGTATCTGAAGATTTGAACCAAGCTTTTAAGGAAATGCACAAAAATAATAAATTGGCTTTACCAGGTATTGTTTTATAATTATGTGTGTGTATATATAACCTTTTTAAAGAAAATATCTTTATTTTCCAATATATTAAAAATGAGCCATAGCAGTAACAGATACAAAGATGTTACAGAATCCACATTCCTTGAAGACATCCAGCAAAACAGAATCTAACAGAATTTAGATTTGCTAATCCTTCTTATGTGTATATTTTTTATTATTTTTTTTTGAGATTTATTTATTTGAGAGAGAGAACATGAGCAAGAAGGGCAAAGGGAGAGGGAGAGAGACTCTCAAACAGACTCTGCACTGAGCACAGATCCCAACATGGGGCACAATTTTATGACCCTGAGATCATGACCTGACCTGAAGCCAAGAGTTGGATGCTCAGTTGCCTGTGCTTTACATGTTTCAGATCCAGCCACATGAAGAGACTAAATTGTCTTTTTTAAGATTTTATCTTTATTTATTTATGTATTGTATTTATTCTTAAGAATATTTGGCAGGGGGAGTTGGCAGGTAGACGGAGAGGGAGGAGCAGACTAGACACCTCCCCACCCCCACCCCCCACCCCCCGCTGAGCAGAGAGCCTGACATGGGGCTGGATCTGGATCCTAGGGCCCCAGGATCATGACCTGAGCTGAAGACAGATGCTTATCTGACTGAGCCACCCAGATACCCCAGTTTGTTTATTTTTTTTAAGTAGGCTCTATATCCAGCATGGAGCCCACTAAGGGGCTTGAACCCATAACCTTGAGATCAAGACCTGAGCTGAGGGATGCCTGGGTGGCTCAGCAATTCAGTGTCTGTCTTCAGCTCAGGGTGTGATCCTGGAGTCCCGGGATTGAGTCCCACATCGGGCTCCCTGCATGGAGCCTGCTTCTCCCTCTGCCTGTGTCTCTGCCTCTCTATCTCTGTGTCTCTCATGAGTAAATAAATAAAATCTAAAAAAAAAAAAAAAAAGACCTGAGCTCTGAGACCCAAGAGTCAAATGCTTAACTGACTGAAAACTACCCTCCCCCCCTTTTTAAGTTTTATTTTTATTTAAGTAATATCTATAGACAATGTGGGGTTCAAACTCAATGACCCAGAGATCAGGAGTCACATACTCCCCTGACTGAGCCAGCCAGGTGCCCCTCTGATCCTTAATTTTTTTTTTTAGGGACGCATGGGTGGCTCAGCGGAGAGTCTGCCTTTGGCTCAGGGCGTGATCCTGGAGTCCCAGGATCGAATCCCACATCGGGCTCCCTGCATGGAGCCTGCTTCTCCCTCTGCCTACGTCTCTGCCTCTCTGTCTCTCATGAATAAAAAAGTATTTAAAAAAATAATTTTTTTAAAAGGACTCTTCTAGCAAAATCCTTTAGGGTTTTATTTTTCACCAAAGCTTACCCAGTATGTACATATTTATATATTTTTAATTTTATCCATTTTCAAGATTGGTTACTTCATATTTTCTGATATTCTTGCCTGTAGCTGATTCAGTTAATATAAAAATTCTGAATGCTGGTGCCTGGTCAAGGAGCTCTGAGAAAGTCTTTGTCTCACTTCCTACTGAACTGGAGGATTTGATACCTGAAGTAGAAGAATTCTACAAAAAAAATCATAGTGGTAGAAAATTACATTGGCATCATCTCATGTCAAATGGAATTGTAAGTAGATGGTGTGTTAGTTCTGATGTTGTTTTAACTGAAAGTACCAGGACTCTAAATATGATTTGCTTAAACGAGAGAGATCTTTCTTTGTCTCACAGGTCAAGTGTGAACAGATCTACTGGATCCAGTCCTTGGAGTTGTAGGGACATGGGCTTCGGGTTGTATCAGCTAGGGTATTGCTTTTGTCTGCAGATCCAATATGATCCCTTCTGTGGCTCTTTTCCAGCCCAACAGGAAGGGAAAGATGAGAATGTACTACTTCAGGAGCAACTTGTAGAAGGTTCCCCATCATTTCCACTCACATCTCATTGGACAGAACTGGTCACATGACCACATTTTGCCCCCGGGAGAGCTGGGATTTGAACCTTTATTCTGGGTAGTCATTAAGGTTTGCTAAAATTTTGGTTACCACATAAGAAAGGAAGGATGGATATTGGTAGACAGCTAGCAGTCTTTTTCGTGTTTCATCCCATGTGAGGGATAGTATACCAGAGAGATGGTAATCCTGAAGAGAGTCTCATCTTTATATTATTTTGTCTGTTACAGATAACATTTAAGAATGAAGTAGGTCAATACGACTTGGAGGTAACAACGTTTCAGCTGGCTGTGTTGTTTGCATGGAACCAAAGACCTAGAGAGAAAATCAGCTTTGAAAATCTAAAACTTGCAACTGAACTCCCTGATGCTGAGCTTAGAAGGACTTTATGGGTTTGTTTTATGTTTGTTTTTTTTTTTTTTAAGTTGTATCCAGTCACAAGGCAGAAAATATTTGATGGCTTGCTTATAATTTATGAATTCATAACACTCTGAAAATGACTTTTAACCAAGAAAAATACACTAGTGAGGGATTAATGCACCAATGAGGTATTCATGGTAAAAAAGAAATTGAAAATAAGTTACCAAGATGTGAAAGACAAAAAAGAAAAAAAGGAGAGAAAGATTGAGTTAATGTTTAAACATTACCTGTGAGGAGTGTGACCAAAGATCTCATACTGAGGATGTGTTCAAAGATTTTATGATGACCAAAAATGTGAGAATTAGGAAACTTTGGTCCTTTTGAAGACTTGTAAAATGTACTTGTTAGTCTCCTGCTTTAGCTACATTTTACCCCCATTCTGCAGACCTCTTGAAAGTTCCAGAATAATAATTTTCTAGAGGGAAGTGGCTGGTGTGTAAACGGCAAGTTGGGTTTGCTGTAATGGCATATGAACCATCCCTCTGGTGTCTTGTCTTACTGTAAAGAGACATTTATTGCTTCCTTTCTCGTAACCACGACTTCTCTCCTTGATCTTTTCTCATGATACGTGTACATTCTTTTATTCATTGAGCTACCAAATAAAAGTTGAATTATGATTTTTGTGCTTATAATTTGTTCTCACCTCTTTTCGTCATGTTGGAGAATTGGTCTTCATACTCCATAACGTTTCTAGATGTTAATCATTTTCTCTTTGTTCTTCATAGTCTTTAGTAGCTTTCCCAAAGCTCAAGCGGCAAGTTTTATTGTATGAACCTCAAGTCAACTCCCCCAAAGACTTTACGGAAGGCACCCTCTTCTCAGTGAACCAGGAGTTCAGTCTAATGTAAGGTCAACATTGGTTGATGTAAAATAAAAATACCTTGTTTGAATTTTGGTATTTTACTGTTAGCACAGTATTTTCCTTACATTATATTTAAAACATCACTCTATGGTTATGCCATTTAGTTATATTAAACATAATAATGAACTGGAGATGCTTACTTCTTTACTTTTTCATCCAGGATACATTTATTGTATGATTATATTGCACGCTAAAGAGGCTTTATTCCCCCAAAATCCACTTAGATGATAATGCTGAATAATAGTCTATATATCTTCAGCTATCTAAGCACTTTCATGGCAGTATAAATTATATTAGTTGTTATTACAGGAGTATTGTCACCCATACGTTATTAACTGAGCCTTTGTTGTGTTCAGGGAAATCATATGGCTCATTTTAAATAAAGCTGTATGTCAATTATTTGTTACTTTTCCTTTAAATAGTTCTGGGTCGTAATCTTTAGAATATTTCTAAATCTTTTTTCTCAGACATTGTTGCTATAATATGATGTTAAAAGGCCTTCCACTGTAAAATATTTGATTCAATGTTTTTTATAGAAAAAATGCAAAAGTTCAGAAAAGGGGTAAAATCAACTTGATTGGACGCTTGCAGCTCACTACAGAAAGGATGAGAGAAGAAGAGAATGAAGGAATAGTTCAACTAAGAATACTTAGAACCCAGGTTTGTTCTAAGACAGAATGTGTATATATATTTTTAATTTGTTTTTTACCTTCAATTTTTTTTTTTAATTTAAAAGCATGTAGGTATTCAAACTATGATGAAGAGCTAATTTTCATTTTACTGAAATTTAAGAATTGCATTGCTGGCATTCTCTCAGTTGCCGAAAGAGAGGTTTGTACATCATGGTGGCCTCTGGTAGATTCCATTGGTTGGGCAGAACCTTGGCATTAAGTTGATTACAACTGACTGTGTGTCCACAATAACTGACAATTCTAAGACTGAAGTATTTAAACTTTTGCTTAATTTTAAGACTTATAAGTCCATTGTAATGTGAAATTAGGGAATATTTTTTAAACTGTTTTTTAAGTTTTATTTATTTATTTATTTATTTTTAGCAATCCACACCCAGTATAGGGCTCGATCTCATGACCGACCCCAAGATCAAGAATCTCATGTGCTTCTGATTAAGCCAGCCTGACACCTCTACTTTTAAAAACAGTTTAAAGCTAGGATTGTGGTCCCTTTTGACGTGAGAAAGAACACCTATTGCAACTGATGTGTGACCATATTAACTTTAGAAGTATTCTTATTAAAACTAAGTTCTCACTGTTTTTATTTAATATTATTTGAAACTGTGGCTAATTCAATAAAAAGTATAAAACAAGAAAAGATTAAAATTTTTTATTACTTCTAGAGCATAGAGTATGATAAAGTAGAAAAAGATGGATGAAAACCAGTTTCTTTTCTATTTAGCAATAAATAAATTTTAAAAACTTAAGAGAAAGGGGCACCAACCTGGCTCATTTGGTTGAGTGTCTGACTCTTGATTTTGGCTCAGGTCATGATCTCAGGGTTGTGAGATCAAGCCCCACCTTGGGCTCTGCATTCAGCATGGGGTCTGCTTCTCCCTGTCCCTCTGCTCCTCCTCCTGCTCGTGCTCTCTCTCACACTTACTCTATCTCAAATAAATAAATAAACAAACTTTAAAATAAAAAAGAATAAATAAATGAGAGCGTTTGAGATCCTTAAAAAAAAGATTAAGCTGTTGGTGGAACTCCCCTTGTGAACTATGAACACTTACTAAAATATCTACAAAAATAAAATAGTATAATGGGCACATGAGTTGAAAATAACTCAGAATTGAACCTACTCTATATGTATAGACAAACTTTGGAATGAAGGAAATAATTTCCATGAACCCTGCAAAAGGGAATGGATTATTCAATAAGATTTGGGGGAGTTTTTTGTTTGGGGTGAAAAATCAGGATATGGTCCTAGTTTCTGGCTACATCAGGATAAATCCCCGATGGATTAGTGTTGAGCAGTTATAGGCATTTTACAGGATATGCAGAGGAAATTTAATTTTTTTACGTTGTCTTAAACTGGATAACTGTGTCCAGGCTAATAAGGCAGCCTGTCCCTTTAGGTCATGCTCAGCCTTGCTTGTTTCCCCTGATCTTCCTCCAGCCATCCCCGCTCAGATACATCTGGGTGGATCGAGGGTGAGAGGAACTCACTGGACCTCATAGTGACAGTGAAGGGATCATCCTGTTGTCGTGACAATGTCCTGGGTCCTTGCTTTTTTGGTGGGATGCTGTATCTGTCACCTATGCGACGGACTTCCTGTTGCTGTCTCCTGCTGATGTCTTAGCAGATGAGCTCTGGTTCATTCTTTTTCCAGTTGGTAAGGACTACAGGGGCTCTTCCCTGCTCTGCCTGTCCTCTGTTCTTACTGAGCTCTTCAACTCTCCAAGACCCTGCCACATCTCCCATGTGGCCCCTTGGTCCACTTGGCACCCTGTCACTGTCATGTCCTGCGGGATTACCGTTGCCCAGCACTTAAGGCCTATTGGGGTCTGTGAGCTCGACACCCTGTCTGCATCATGTGGGAACTGAGAAGGTGCAGGAGTGCATGTTCTAGGCATCCTGTCATGCTCCTCTTCCAGTGACGTCCAGCTAGAAGGTGCGGGCCAGGGCCAGTGCCCCGGTGCTGTTCTCTTCACTTCTCAACACTTCTCAAGCACAGTCCCCTCCTCAGCTCTGCCAAAGCTGGGAGAGGAGAGCTTGAGACATTTACAGTCATTCCTCCTTCCTGGCTCCCGGGATCTCCATGTGCCTGACGGCTTTCCCCCTTCCTCCTTTATATCTGGACCCTTGAACTAAGCCCCTGTCCTCAAGAGCCTGGCATCTGAATACAGTGAGAAAGGAAGGACTCCTAGTGACAGGGGTGGGATCCTCATGTCTCTGTGGGGGACGTAGAAGATTCTTCTGTCTTGCCAAACCGTGTCTGGCCCCCCAGTCTGTTACTGCTTTGCAGCAAAACTTCACTGTGAATGTTAAAAGCCAATATTACCCCTCATTTTGTTTTCACATTTCTTTTTAAGATTTTTTAATTTATTCATTTGACAGAGCAAGAGAGCACAAGCAGGGGGAGCAGCAGGCAGAGGAAGAGGGAGGAGTAGAGTGCCTGCTGAGTACAGAGCTTGATGTGGGACTCAATCCCAGGACCTGGGGATCATAAGAGCCAAGGGCAGACTCTTAACCCACTGAGCCACCCAGGCACCCCTTCACATTTCTTTTTTAACAAAGTCTAATCTCCACCAAGGCAGACAGATCCCTTTGCTTTGCTAAGGACAGAACTTATACTGGAATAGCAAAAGAGAAAAGAATATTTAATAATTTTCTAATTATCCCTTTTACAAGCTTAATAGTAATTGAATCACCAAGGAAATATTTATAAAATTGATTTAGGCAAACAGTGCTTACTGCTTTAGGAAGTCAGAATGTTTAATTGAATCAATAAACTGGAAGTAATGTTTATTGCAAATATAATTTATTCTGATAAATAAGTAAAGAGTAGTAATTACTGATTTTTAAAAATAGACACCAACTGGCATGTGCTGCTACCCCAAGAAATAACTCTGTGGACAATGGAAAAGGGTGGGTAAGGGGTTTGTTATATCTTAATTGATGTTTAACACAATATCTGATTATATACATACTGAGTTCACATATAAGATAAATTTTTTAAATATGGATAGTGTGGAAGAAAGTATCCCAGAACAATAGGTGTGGTTTTCTGCAGAGCAGTTATGGGTAATTTTGGTTTTCCTCAAAATCTTTGCAATCAGATTTTCTTTTACAGTGAGTAAAAAAAGGTAATTTTATTTAAGTAAAAGCTCCTGGTGTGAAGATAACCTAGTAATGATTCTTTTGAATAGATGTTGAAAAGAGAATGAAATACATAGAAAATTATGTTTTGTTCTACTTAAAATTTAATATATTAATGCTCTTTCATTTTTCTTTTTCTTTTAGGAAGCTATCATACAAATAATGAAGATGAGAAAGAAAATTAGTAATGCTCAGCTGCAGACTGAATTAGTAGAAATTTTGAAAAACATGTTTTTGCCACAAAAGAAAATGATAAAAGAGCAAATAGAGTGGCTAATAGAGCACAAATACATCAGGAGAGACGAGTCTGACATCAACACTTTCATATACATGGCATAATCTTGAATATTATGGACAACATTAAGAACCCAGATTTCAGAGTGCTTGGGCAGAAAGTTGTAACAGTTTGTGCTGGAGGAAAGTTTATTTGGACTTTGATTACATAAATATTAAAATCTCTGCCTTACCTGACAAAACAACTATATTTTGCCAGTCACATTAGTTAGCATGATGGCATTCCCTTCATGTTGCACACTCTGTAACAGCATGCTGTTTTGTGGAGAAACTTGCATTCATGAAGAGCCCATGATGAACTTGTAAAAGTAAATTTGATTTATACCCACCAGAAGAAATAGTCGGGAAGGGTGAGGGCGGGGTTCTTGTTGCTTTCCTCTTTTCCTCTTTTTTTTCTCTCTTACAAAAATGTACTTGCACAAGGAAGGATCTTCAGATATTCGTGCACTGAATAATGCTGTTATGTTTTGTTTTTTTAAAAATGCAATTAAAACTAGAAATAGCACTCTTGGTTTCTTTTGATCAAAAGAGGGAGCTGGTCTATACAATATTGGGGGGGTGGCGCAGATGTAGGTGAGAAGATAAGTATTTTAACAGTATCACACTATTCACACCCTCTCCAGTATAGTGACAGGATTTAATGGTGACCTGAAAATGATACTGAATTTTTCCAACTTAGAAACATTGGCTTTCTTTAAGCAGGAGACTGCTAGTTTAGATGTTTGTTGTTAAATAAGGAGATTTAAAATCTTACATGGCTGGAGAGCTTGTTTTGAAAAACTGAAGCTTATATTAATTTGTTGCTTCAATTGTTTAAAAAAATGTATGGAGATAGGTCATTTCAACTGCACAGTCAAAAATGGCAAAACAAAGTGTGTTCACTTACACACTTAACGTTTGTACACCTAATACTATGCCAAATTTATTGAAAACAAGGCAGAAATCTTCTCTTATATAATATAGTTACGTAACTGACCTCTTGATCTTGAGCTTAGAGATATTTTGGAATTTTAACGTTTCATGATTAGGGATTTATAGCCTCAGGTTTCTGGAAAGGAAGACATTCTGTTGTAAAAAGTAGTGATTGTCCATTACCGAGGGAAGAGAAAAACCGCAACATAAGACCCGAAAAGCATAAGCAAAATTGTTTCAGTCTTAATATGAGCAGTAAACTTGCCAAATATATGTACATATATATTTATATATTTTAAAAAATAAACATTTTTAAAATGTTCAGAGGGCAACACTTACCTTATTTGTTTCAGTCGATCCAAAGTAGCAACTTAACTAGTTGCTGACAACTGAACACCCAGAGTAATGCAGAGTTCAGGCCTTGAGGACACAGCAACTTAGCAGAGGAACGTATTCCCTGTTGGGAAGGAGTGGCTCTACATGGATTTTTATTCATTACACTGCATGTTCCAAGTTTCTCGCATTTTCTATCTTGTTTGATACCAAGTAATACTTTAAACCTATGATTTTGGAAATGGTAGGAATTGGAATGCCAAGCTTTGAAAAGTGTACGGTGGACAGTATCATGCAGAGTGCTTTCAGGAACATTCCCTGGAATCCATCCCCAGTCCCAAGCCAAGAGGCATTGTGAGCTGTCTGCTGGAAGGAAGGAGAACAAATTCAGAACATTGAAGGTGTCACTGGGTATATATTCATATACCTGTTCTGAAACATAGGAAATTGGAATTTTGTATCTAATTTAAAATCTTACACTTAGCTCTAATAATGTGTCCATTATTAGACCAAGTGTATTATGGAGAATTAAACTAAATTGATGATTGTGGACGATGGATATGTTTGAAATTTTAAAAAATAATTTTGTAATAATTGTGGCCCTTACATTTAACAAATAGTTTAGGATTGGGCATATTTGCTTTTCCCATATGAGAATGCCCAAGGAAGACCATGGAAAGGAGAATTAGAGGTCATTTTTTATTTAAAGTTTCAGATTTGTTGCTTTAAACCATAATTGTTCCCAGAACATGTTTGGAATTTCTCATCTTTTTGGTCATTTAATTTGAGAATGAGAGCCATGATGTTTTGATTTATAAAGAGAATTTAATGCAAAAGTGGGTAACTAAATCCATAGCAAAGTTTTCTATTAAATTTTATAAATTTTTTAATACCTAATTATGTCCTAATTATATTTTGGGAAATTGAACAGCAGCAAATACTGTAGACTTACAGTTTTCATCTTTTTTTTTTGTTGTTATGTATACAAAAGTTTAACTAATTTTTGGTGTTTATGAAAACAGTTTAGTTGACGAGGTGCCTATACCATTGTTAAAGTTTTCTTTAAATACGTTTTGATGATAGATTTGCTAATTAAAAAAAAAAAATCTGAAAAAAACCGTACCAGCAATGAGCTTAAAAGTACAGAATCACAGTTAGTATCCTTTATTAAGTCCCTTCTCTCTGATTGCACTTAAAAGTGGTACTGTCTGAGCAGGGACTAAGCCTGACATAGTTAAGGGAGAAGAATCTAGGCCACCAGGAGTAGGGCAATGAGATATGTCACAGGTTAATTTAAACTGTGAACACTCCTTTTCTAATTTAAAGATGGAACCATCTGGAAAATGTTAACCTTTTTGTCCTCTCATTGCCAGAGTGAGTAGACATGAAGCAAAACTTACAAAGAGAACAATTTTAATACTTTCAATGAGAAAACTATTAGGACATTAGTGTTCAATGATTTAATGAGGATCTTGAAATAAATTATGAAGTCTTCCAATTTTTACATTTATTGGTGGGGTCCCTGCATTGTCAGCGTGTTTATTTAAGTCTCTTATTTTGTGCATAAAATGTTAACAATTTCCAAAAATGAAATGTTAGCTTTCTTGTTTTTACTTTTTATTGAATTTAATACAAAATATGACCAGAGTAGTTACAAAGTATTTTGCATTATTTGCAGTAGGATGTCATTGGCCCAGCTCACAGGGCAAATTTTAAAAATTCAATTTGAGTGAAAGATTTGTTAGTTTTCCAGAAAGATTTGCTATCTTAAACTCAAGCCGGTTTTTCTATTTTCATGTAAATGACTGGGATGCTATCTTATAAACTCTTCCAAGGTCATGTTTGTGAAATCAACATTACTTGAGAGCTTTCCTGTCATCTACACTATATATGTTGTCTGGAGTGTTGAACAAATTTGCGTTCCTAAGTTGTAATCTATCTTCGTATGGTATATACGATTTTGAATGTGTGCCACTACATACTGAGATGATAATGCTGTACAATTTTAAATGGTAGCAGTTTCTGTATGCAGTAGGCTGAAATATTTTAATGAACTGCTTAATTTTTGGATTTTATTTTTTAAGTTGTATAATTTATTTTCTTGCAAAATAAAAATGTAATATAAAAGCCTTCACCTATCCAGAAAATGTTCATGTTCTACTATTAAGTAATTTTTGAGAGTTAAATTTGTGTAATAAGTATATTTACACATTTCATGGTGAAACAGTAAATCTTAGCCTTAGGAATCAAACATGAAAAGTAATCCACTTATTTCTTTTAGATGATGAAAGCTATCAGAAGTGTAGCTTTCCCAATGGTGATAGCAGCCTAAGGTTATCATGCCTGGAAAAGATAAAATATTTCAGACCTGAACGTGATTAATGCATTCCTTCCATCAGGTTAGATAGGCCAGGTCATAACCACAATATGAATTTTGTATGTCAGATAAAAGTAATATATATAATTATTTCATGTTTTGTGTTTTTTTGAAATTTTGTGAAATAGTTAAATTTCAAAGCTAGAGAAAGTTTAGTAATAAGATTGTGGACAGTGTCTTTCATGGAAGTACCATAGAAACTGGGTGGCTTATAAGCAACAGAAATTTGTTTCGCCCCGTTCCAGAGGCTGGAAGTCAAAGATGAAGGTGCCACCACAGGTGGTTTTGGTCTTGAACCTCTTCCACCATGCAGCTGCTGACTTCTGGTTGCGTCCTCACATGGAGGAGAGAGGGCTGAGAGAGGTGCCAGGGTCTCTTGTAAGGGCACTAATCTCCTTCATGAAGCTCCTAACCTTATCAAAGCCAGAGCCCCACCTCCCAATACCTAATGGGGATTAGGCTTCAACGTGGGACTTTGGGGCAGATGGACGTCATTAAGTCTATGGACTCCGACTCAACCCTGAGCTCAGCTTGGGACTTGAGGGGGGGGCAGGGGGGTTAACTTGGAAAAGTCTGGTCCCCGTATAGTATTCACCTAACCCTAGAGATAGACTTCCCGCTAACCTTGAGCTTCTGGGCCACTCATTGCTGGGCCTCTCCCAAGCCCTGGAAGGGCCCTGGGAATCCTCTGTGGGCTACAACTCGCACCTCCTTACTACACTCTGCAGAAAAGGATTTTACGTGTTGGAGGTTTGTGACAACTGGATTGATTTTCCAATAGCGTTTGCTCATGTTGTGTCTGGGTCACATTTGGGTAATTTTTGCAATATTTGAAACATCCTATCTGTTACAGTGATGAGGGATCTCTGATGCTACTTCTGTGGTGGTTTCAGGTGTCTGAGCTGCCCCCATGTGAGGATGGCAGATTGCATCAATAAATGTGTGTGTTGCGACTCCACCAACTGTTTCCTCACCTCCCTCTCCTTGGGTCTCCCTCTGCCTGAGACACAATGTTGTTGAAAGCGGACCAGTTAGCTGTACAGCAGCATCTCAGTACGAAAGGGAAAGGAAGAGTCGCCAATCTTTCACTTTAAACCAGAAGCTAGAAGTGATTAAGCTCAGTGAGGAGGGTGTGTCGAAAACGGAGACAGGCCAAGAGCTAGGCCTCTTGTGCCAAACAATCAAGTTGTGAATGCAATAAGTTCTTGAAGAAAATTAAAAGTGCTACTCCAGTGAACGCAATAATGTTAATAAAGCCAAACAGCCTTATTGTCAATACAGAGAACGTTCTAGTGGTCTGGATAGAAGATCAAAGAGGCCGTAACTCCTTTAAGCCAAAGCCTAACCCAGGGCAAGCCCCTAACTCTTCAATTCCATGAAGGCTGAGACAGAAGAAGCTGCAAACACCTGAAGCAAACAGAGGTTGGTTCATGAGGTTTAAGGAAAAGCTGTGTCCATAACATCAAAGTGCAAGGTATGGCAGTAAGTTCTCCAGACGTTCCAGCTAAGAGCATTACCGAAGGTGGCTACACTTAACAGATTTTCCATGTGGATGGACTGGCCTCCTGGAAGAAGGTGCCATCCAGGACTTTCAGAGCTACAGAGCAAAATCAATACCTCAAAGCTAAAGGACAGGCTGACTCTTGTCGGGCTGATGCAGCTGGTGACTTTGAGTTGAAGCCAGTGCTCATGTACCACTCTGAAAACCCTAGGACCCTTAGGAATTATGGTGAATCTCTTCTGTCTGTGCCCGATGGATGGAACAACACAGCCTGGATGAGAAGGGTGTGTTACTGGCACAGAAATGTGCATGTAAATCAACGGATGGGGATGAAGAGCTCAGAAATAAACCTATGCCTTGAATATCAATCTATGACAAGGGAGGCAAGAATATGCAATGGGGAAGGGACAGTCTTTTCAATAAATGTTGGCTAAGTGGGCTACTTTTTTTTTTTTTTTAAAGATTAGAGAGAGCATGATGGGTGGAGGGGGCAGAGGGGGAGAGAGAATCCCAAGCAGACTCTGCCATATGCAGAGCCTGACAACCATGACCAAGATCATGACCTGAGCCGAAATCAAAAGTTGGACGCCCAACTGACAGAGCCACCCAGGCGCCCTCAAACTGGACCGACCACTTTCTTACACCATACACAAAATTAAGTGGATTAAAGACCTAAATGTGAGGCCTGAAACTAAAATTGGAGACTACACCAAAATGAAGTAAAGGACTCCATCAACAAATCAAAAAGACAACGTATTGAATGGGGAGAACATACCCATAAACGACATATCCAACATGCAGTTAATAACCAAACTATGTAAAGAACTCCTACAACTTAACATGAAAAAGTTCGAATAATTTTTTTTCTCAGACTCCCCAAAATATCAAAAGTTGGATCCAGTCCTGCTAAAACTGAATGCAAAAAGAAGGCTGTCGGCAGGCGCTCAAATGTGCGGTCAGTGAATGAGAGCATGTGTGTTTGAGAATAACGTAGATTGAACAGAGGTCAATGTTTTAACCTTCGAATGAGGAGCCTTTATTTTCTAATTGTTTATTCTAAGCTGTAAAATCAAATACAGACTTTTTTTTTTTAATTTATGATAGGCACACA